CATAACCCTAGCACTTTGGGAGGCCAAGGTGGGTGGATTGACTGAGGTCAGGAGTTCGAGACCAGCCTAGCTAACGTAGTGAAATCCCATCTCTTACTAAAAATACAAAAATTAGCTGAGTGTGCTGGTGCATGCCTGTAATCCCAGTTACTCAGAAGGCCAAAAGCAGGAGAATCGCTGGAATCCAGGAGGCAGAGGCTGCAGTGAGCCAAGATGGCGCCATGGCACTCCAGCCTGGGCGAGAGAGCAAGACTCAATCCCAAAAACCAAACAAAACAAAACAAAACAAAATCCTGTAAGATCTCATGAGGACTCACTGAATACCACAAGAACAGCATGAGGAAAACTGTCCCCATGATCCAGTCACCTCCCCCCAGGCCCCTCCCTGGACACATGAGGATTATGGGGATTATAATTCATGCTGAGATTTGGGTGGGGACACGGCCAAACCATATCAGAAAGTAAAGGTAGAAGTCAAGCTTGGATGGCAAGTGACACTGTAGATTACTATTCTTTTTTTGTTTTTTATTTTTGAGACGAAGTTTTGCTCTTATTGCCCAACAAATTTTTGTTTTTCTAATTTCATGTTCAGATTGTGTCTTGCAGATGTACAGAAATACAATAAATAAATGATTCTATTAACCCTTTATGCTTCAACCTTGCTGAACCCTCTTTTTTTTTTTTTTTTTTTTTTAGATGGAGTTTCATTCTTGTCGCCCAGGCTGGAGTGCAGTGGCGCAATCTTGGCTCACCCCAACCTCCACCTCCTGGGCTCAAGTTATCCTCCTGCCTCAGCCTCCCAAGTAACTGGGATTACAGTCATGCGCCACCATGCCTGGTTAATTTTGTATTTTTAGGAGAGATGGGGTTTCACCATGTTGGCCAGGCTGGTCTCAAACTCCTGACCTCAGGTGATCTGCCTGCCTCGGCCTCCCAAAGTGTTAGGATTACAGGCGGGACCATCACTCCTGGCCCCATTTTGTGTTTTAACATCAGTCAACCCTCATATTTTAAAATAATAACAATGAATGGCGGTACTTTAGAACAAGGGAATTATACATCTTCCTCTTGTCCTGATCCTGGTGCAGACATTTTGCCTATAAAATGTTACTCACAGATGAATTCATGAGAACATTATTGTGACTTTCAAATCCATATACAAGTCAATGCTCATTCATGAATATTTCAATAAAATAAAACTAATAGCAAAATAGAATCCCAGGGTTGAAGCAGTTTCAAGAAAAAGGAGTTGGCAATATGAAGTAAAATAGCAAAAAAAAAACGGTTTTTTTTTTTTAAAAAAAAAAAGGGTATATTTGTGTCTACAAGTTTTTTTATAGCATTAGATAATGTATATATGTTATATATATACATACATAAATATACACACATACACATATATAAAGCAATGGAAGTGCCATTGTTTTCACACTAGTCTAGAATATTAAAATATATGTATAACGTGGTCAGCAAAATAATGGCCCTTCAAAGATGTCCACAGATTCCTAGAACCTTACATGAAAACGGTACGTCATACATATGATTAAGGTAAAGACCTTGACATGAGGAGACTACCCTGGTGCTATGGAAGGAACATTGTGTTCCGTCAATGTTCCTGTGTTAAAATCCTAACCCTCAAGGTGATGGTATTAGGAGGTTAAGCCTTACGGGAGACTCTGCCCTCATGACTGGGATTAGCACCCTTATTAAAAGCACAAGGGAGCTTGTTTGTTCCTCTCACCATGTGAAGACACAGCAAGAAGGAAGCCTCTATGAGAAAGCAGACCTTCTCCAGACACCAAAACTGCCGGCACCTTGATCTTGCACTTCTCAGCCTCCAGGACTGTGAGAAACAAAGTTCTGTTGTTTATAAGCTGCCCGGTCTAGTGCATTTCCTTGTAGCAGGCTGTATGGATTAGGACAGTGGGCTCATGTGGATGAGGATGGCATCTCCATTCAGGACTAAGTAAACACATGAGTCCTTAACAGTGGAAGGAAGGGGGAAGGAAAGAGCCACAGAGACATGTGGCCATAGAAGAAGGGTCCATGAGATGCAAGGTTGCTAATGGTGAGAGTGGAGAAGAGCCCAAAGCCAAAAAATGCAGGCAGACTCCAGAATGTGGAAAAGGCGAGAAAAAAGATTCTCCCCTAGAGCCTCTAGAGATGAAGGTAGCCTTTCCACCACCTAGATTTTAGCCCAGGGACATCCACATCAGACTCTGACATACAGGAGTGTAATCAATTTATTTTATACCCTGACATGGTAGTAGTTTGTTGTAGTAGCAATGGACTAGTAATAAATAAATATATATATATACACACACAAATATATATTAGCCGGGTGTGGTGGCGTGTGCCTGTAGTCCCAGCTACGCGGGAGGCTGAGGCAGGAGAATTGCTTGAACTTGGGAGGCAGAGGTTGCAGTGAACCAAGATAGTGCCACTGTACTCCAGCCTGGCGACAGAGCAAGACTCCACCTCACATTACCTTCATTCTGAGAAGGTATAATCATCAATGCATTCTTGAGCACAACTATGCACACATGCACTTCTGCATTCACAAGCCATGCTGCGTGCACACACTGATGCCCCTAGATTCCTTTTTTGAAGAGATGGTGTCTTGGGGGGTGTGTGTGTGTGTGTGTGTACATATACACACGCACTACCCACACATACACACAGAACTACATACATCCTGCCCTTCAAAGCTGAAGCAGATAAACTATACGTTAGCATTAACTTAGCTGGGTGTGGTGGTGCACGCCTGTAGTCCCAGCTACTCAGGAGGCCGAGAGGGAGGATCACTTGAGCCCAGGAGTTTAAGACCAGCCTGGGCAACACACTGAGGCCACATTTCAAAAACAAACAAACAATAACACAACAAACCTTTGATTAAACTCATTTCCCAAATTTGAAGAGGAGACAATTATTAGATAAAGAAGAGAAAAGAGAAAGGTAGAGCTGCTGACTTCTGTGGTGGAAGCACAGGCACAGACCCAAACATACTCCTGTCCTCCTGGCTTTCCTGTCCCTTCTCATAAGGAACACATGAACCTCTCAAACTGAAGCACAGATCACAGATCCATACTCAGAACTCAATGCAGTTTTGTTCTATGATTTTTTATACATGTCCTTGTTTCTGCTTCCCGTTCCCAACTCCCTTATTCTAGTTAGAGAAAAAATGGCTATTACCAAATATAAGTACATCCTCATGTACTAATGCCAACTCATCACCAGCTGGTTTTCTTCTTTTACAAAGTCATAAATCTTTAGGCTTTAACACGTCTTCCACGCAACAGAATGTTATTTTCCAGCTCATTAACACAAATTCTATATTTAAAATGAAGACTTCACAAGTTGATTTCAATAATATATTAACCAAACTAGACTGGCCATGGTTCAAACTGACATTTTAATTAAATGTGATGATAGGTTGAGTAACCTAGCAGTACTCTAACATGACTTTTGGTTATGGCTTTTTCCATATTATGTTTAGGCTGAGGCATCCCTAAATGATTCAATTGTAATTCTCCTTCTTAAACATGAGATTTATCCTCACAAAATAATTTATTTTCTTAAAATTACAAGCTAATTCTATAGTTCATGCCTGCATAATCTCACTAGATATCAGCTGTATGTGTACACACATACATATAGGTATTTGTATATACACACATTACATAATATTTTTAAAAACTTATTAGGGTACAACCACAAAGACAAAGAGGCTTCGTGTAATGTGATGGAAACACAATTGCAGGACAAACAACAGGCTGCTGTGAGGGCTGTATTTACCGTTGCTGCTGTAAAACTTAGAAAAACATGGATAGTGGATATTTAATCCCCATAACAGAAAATTTAGCATGCAGAAAACTTCCCATAATTTTTACAGAGAATATCAACAGAAAGGCATTCAATGCAGGGAATACACAGTGTGATAGTATACAAAAATAAGCAGGTTGATGGTTTAGATTTATGAGACAAGAGACAGAAATAATAGATGATGTCATAATTATCCTTTTTGGAGTTAGGAAAATTCTTCATTTTATATATGGTCAGGTGCTTTCAAATGTCAATGAGAAAAATATTTAAAGGAAGACTCAAATCTGAGATGTGGAGAGATCTTTACAGAAGTGACCTTCAGGCCAGGCACAGTGGCTCACACCTGTAATCCCAGCACTTTGGGAGGCAGAGGCAGGCGGATCACGAGGTCAGGGGATCGAGACCATCCTGGCCAATGTGGTAAATGCCATCTCTACTAAAATACAAAAAATTAGCCAGGTGTGGTGGCGTGTGCCTGTAGTTCCAGCTACTCAGGAGGCTGAGGCAGGAGAATCGCTTGAACTCAGGAGGCAGAGGTTGTAGTGAACCGAGATAGTGCCACTGTACTCCAGCCTGGCAACAGAGCAAGACTCCACCTCACATTATCTTCATTCTGAGAAGGTGTAATCATCAACACATTCTTGAGCACAACTATGCACACATGCACTTCCGCATTCACAAGCCATGCTGCGTGCACCACTGAGGCCCCTAGATTCCTTTTTTGAAGAGATGGTGTCTTGGTGTGTCACCCGGGCTGGAGAGCAGTTTTAGGATCACAGCTCACTGCAGCCTCAAACTCCTGGGTTCAAGTGATCCTCCTACCTCAGGCTCCTGAGTAACCTGAACTACAGGAATGAGCCACCATGCCCAGCCAATGTTTTCATTTTTTTGTAGAGATGAAATCTTGCTATGTTGCCCAGGTTGGCCTTGAACTCCTGGCCTCACGGAATCCTCCTGCCTGGCTCTCCCAACATGCTGAGATTACAGGTATGAACCATTGTGCCCAGCCACCGGATTCTTTATTGAGAAGAAAATTTGTTTGATGACATGTAGGCAATGAATTCATAAATAATAGGTCACAAATTACTAATTTACAAGTCAATATAATGAGTTGAGTAAACACAAAATAACAGCATAGATTAATAAACAGTTGATAACTTCAGAGTTTCTTTTTTTTCTTTAAAATGCAGCTCTGACAGAGATTGCTACTTGTCCATTCGATGGAACAGTCAGAGGTGGTTAAAATCTCATAGGTACACTTATTAATACCTTGCTGCCTTTTGTGTAGCTTCCTCTCAGTACTTCACCAGACTCACCTCTCCAGCTGGGTTCAGGAGCCAGACAGGAGCACACAGAACTGGGAATCCAAAGCCATCTCTGACACTAAAAGCAATGAAAACATAACTAATCAAACATATTATCAAGAAGTGAAGAAGAGACTGATATCAAGTCCAGCAAGAAGGGAAGAAAGCATTAAATCTGCCAGGCTTTCATTCTGACAAAATAATTTACAACATGCATGTCTCTATCTGACATGTGTGAATAGAAAAAGAACCCAAATACCCGGTTAATTGCAAGATGAAAACGAAAAAGAACTCTTGCTTATTCACCAGTGTACAATCAAATCTGGGCTACTAAAACACTTTCATGCACTGATTCTCTCTATGCAACACACGCTTTATTGCCATTTGGAAATGGGATTTCTTGCTTTGATTTAAATACACTTCCTTTGATTTCTTACTTTAAGTATACTTTCTTAACATATTCCCAGCTATATTCTCGGTATAAATTTTCAGGTGTAAGTAACTACTTCTGCTTTTGATAAACAGATAGTATAATTGTTGAAATAGGTACACTCCCATGCAAAGGTGAGAGTACAAGGTAAGACTCCAGAGTCCAGTAAAATATAACAGTCAAGAAAAAAAAAAAAGTGAGAGTAATTGGGCAGTGGGGAAATCTTGTGTGTGGAAAGAATGAATCTGGAAAACTGTTCTTCCCTAAGACTTCAGCAGGATTTGGATGGTAGAGAGCTTTGTGTACAAGGGTTCCAGTTCCACACAGTTCAGGTCTAATTTCAAAGGTAACTTCTAGTGCAACCTGTGACTCACCCTGTCCTAAAGTGCCATCTATAAAGGGTCTGAAGATAACACACAGGCAGCACTGTGAACCCCTGACAGCCCTTCCAGATAAATACCAGGTCAGTGTCTACAGCTGATGACACAGAGCAGAAGATCTGAAAAATAATACTTCTTCAGCCAATGGACTGCCAGTCACTATTATTTAATGTAAAATACTATATTACATATACATATACAATACTAAATTACATACTACGTATCTGTGATTTTTTTTTAATTGCGGTGTTTCACATTGAAGCAATGAAATATAAAAACCAAACGTTTATTAAGCTTAAAGGCAACTTAGAAATACTGATGCCAGATAGAAAGATGCTTTAGCCCCAAGTCAGCTGTTTGGAAATGTCACAACTAAACCAACAAAGGGATCTTGAGGCATAATAAGCCTTCATACCTTTCCAGCTATACTTGTGCTTGTCTTGAACATGAAAACCTAAGCTGCAGTTATGCCACAGCACAGAATGTGTTATGTTTTACATCACTGAGCCTTAGTTCACAAATGGTAAAACACAGGGAAGGTAAACTGTAAGGTTTTTCTTAAGGAGCTGTTATATCCAACAGACTCATGAAAATCTTTGCCAAATGTCCCCGGTACATAGCTCCTCCCCACTGATGGGCTCAACAGGGAGAAGTTATGCACATGTCTCAATTTTCATATGCTCATTGGCAATACAGGATTCCTAGGATAAAGTAAGGGATATAAATGACACAGCACACTGAAAAGACTGTAATGTTACTTCAGAGGGTTGCAAAATATAGATCACAGATGAAAGTTTTAGTTCATTGAAGGATGTAATCATGTATATTTCATTAGTGTGTTTTAAAGTCTTATACTGCTTACGTTCTTATGTGGGAAAATATATCTTGTTTGTGCTTTATCGATGAAATGTGAACAGACAAAACTAAAAATAATTTTACAACCCAAATCACCAGATGTTAATGGCTGGTAATTCAACCGGAAATCTGAAAGATAGTATCTGTTTCATTGTGATACCAAATATCAGTGACAAGGAAAATTTTATTTGTGGTATTTAAGTGTAGGCCTCTGGAACAAATGACTTGGTTCACAGGCAGCACGCCCACTGCTGAACTGCCACGGCCTGACAGCCTGTCTTATCTGCCCAACTGCTCATTAGGTTTGGCAATCTTCACCTGTGCCTCCAGCTTACATTTCAGCAGGTAATACGCATCAGTCTGCTTTTATCATCTTCTGCAGTGAGCTTCCAACACTCCTTTAGCAGTACGGTGTCCCTGCATCTGCAATCCTCCAAACACACCTTGTATACGTGTCATTATTTTTCGACTCAATTCAGCTTCCAGCTTTGGAGGCTAGCTTAGCTTAAATAAAGCAAAAATACAAGACAGAGAATATGCAAAGTAAGTCCTGCATTGTAAATATTAAGTGGGCTGACCAATCATTTACTTTTTTAACATTAAAAAAGAATACATTCACCATACAAATTTAATATTTAAATATGGATTTCAGAATGTATTTTGGCACGGGGCACAGGGGACAATAGAGCAGAGGATTCCTCTCCCAATTGTCTCTGATCTATCCAACCTTTGTTAGGTCAGAGAGTTCTCCAATTTATTAATAAACAACAGAGATAATGTGGCAACCAGGACACAGAGACATACTGAGAGTACTGCTCAGCTCTCTGCCTAGGCCTGATTCTGCTGATCCCTGACAATGAGCACTGTGAAATTTCGAGGCAGGTGAATACACACACACACAAACACACAAAAGAGATACTTCATGGGCAAAAAGCACCAAAGATATAAAACAAAATGTCTGAAAGACCATCAAACAACTTCTGATGAAATGCTGTTTACATTTTGCAGGAGCAAAATATTCACCACCAAACCTACAATTAGCTTAAAAATTACAATAAGTACAGTACTTTTGGATCCCATCTCCAATTCATACCTTATCAACATGTAATAATCACACTGCATCTACAACAAAGCTGGATGGACTTTATATGCCAAATACAACTTGTACAGTAAGAAGGTAATTTTTTGAAATACTGTGAATACAACATTTGTATGCCATGCTCTACTTCACAAGTTAAAAGAAAATACAATCATTTCTACTCTCAAAACGTATTGAAGTAAAATACAGAAAAGGGTATTCTAATACCAATTAACATTAAGAGAACATATCTCTAAACCAAAGATCTTGGATCTTCTAGAAAGACAAAATCAACCTGTATATACTTGGGTAAGAAAAAAAAATTAAGAGCTCAAGAAAGGAGAGAGGATGTTAGCATAGAATCATCTCCAAAAATGGCTTTCTGATGCATCTGACCAGTTTTGAAGTCCATTTGTTTTTCCTCCTTTAGCATCAACAGCCGATATTACCAAGGAAATGCAAAATAATTCAATTTGTACATTAACCAGCTAATCTAGAAATGGCAATATAGTCAATGAAAATACAGAGAAATAGAAAAATGCCAAGGAATTGTTTAAGATGTTTAAGATGACATAGCATAGGGAAAAAGTGATCTGATAAACACTGGAAGAGTTAATAAGCAAACTCATGCATGGTTCCCTAACACCACACTTCAAAAGAACTTACAGCGAGAATAAAGGAATAACCCTTTTTTAAAAAATCTAATTTTAGAAAACAATTGCTCAACAGGGAAGTTAGTGTTTTGTAGATCTTTTGGAAAGCTGATTAATTTCTAAGCTAAAAACACATGATCCTTAAGAGAAATGGCTGAGTCCAGGCCCAAGGCAGGAAGAGGGCAAAATGAGCCTGGATTCTCTTGTTCTGTCAGAAAGTAAGAAATGCTAAAGACTAACAGAGACAGTTGAGAGGACACAGGATCCAGGCTGAAGGCTCCCATGGCCAAATCTGGGACAGCATAGACATCAGAAAGAACGACGACAGTGATGGAAAATAACCCATAGAATAAAACGCAAGTGCATTAGTCAGCAGTGAGACCGAAATAAAGAGGAGAAGTGAAAGCTCTTTGTTAAAAATGCCAGGTAACAAACGTAGGAGGAATGACACAGGAAGAACATTCAATTTAAGTCACCAGTGCCATAAATGATAGAGAAGATCATAAGGAGGCTAAAATCACTGGATAAAAGAAAACTATACAGAGCTATTTAACACAGCACGATATATAAAAGTATGAAAACCTAAATTAGAAAAAAAGAAAAATCATACCATAAGAGATGGCCAAGTTTGAATACAGCAATAATAGGCCAGACACAGTGGCTCACACCTGTAATCCCAGGACTTTGGGAGGCCAACGTGGGAGAATAGCTTGAGCCCAGGAGTTCGAGACCAGCCTGGGCAGCACAGAACTAATCTCTAGAAAAAAAGAAAAAAATTAGTCGGAGTGATGGTGCACTCCTGTAGTCCCAGCTACTTGCAGGGTTGAAGTGGGAGGATCACTTGAGCCTGGGAGTTCCAGGCTGCAATGAGCCAAGATCACGCCACTGCACTCCAGCCTAGGAGACAAAGCAAGACCTTCTCTCAAAAAAAAAAAAAAATACACCAATAATAACAAAATATGACTACATAAAGACTATAAAGACTGTATAGAAAAAGGAAATGCTGAGAATACAGAAATAAAATTACGTATTTTAACTGTAACTATATTAGAAGAGGGTAGGCTTGTAGACAAGGATGACTAGAAGGATATGCAAAAATGAAAGTACCTAATAACACTCATTATGTCAGTCACTGCAGTAGGTAGTTTATGCACATTATAACAAACTACATACTAGATTATCTCAAATTTTTCAGATAAATTTTACTGGGAGTCATAAATCACTACAACAAAACCAATGTTTTGCAAACATCCACTATGGTATACAAATTCCTAACCCAGGCTGAAAAATAATTCACATAAGCCACATATCAGTGTAAACCTACCCATGAGATAATACAACATAATCTAAATAAAACTTTCAGAGACAAGGCATGTGGCTTCTGGACAGCCACAAACTCCCTGACTCTGCTCTAGTGTTTCGGCCACCAAAAGAAAGCCAAGTGGCCTCAGGTCTCCTAAAAAACAAAAAAGCAACCAATGGAAGATGGCGTGGTATTTGAGGAATATTTGGGGTCTGTTGAAAAATGCATCCTGTATTTTATTTCAAGAAAAGACTCCCTCGTAATGTCAGGTAAGTGAAGAGCCCTCAGAGACACATGCACACACAAAGAAAAACAAAAAACAGAATGAATCCCAACAAAATGTGTTATGATGGCAGAATTACGGGTGATAAAATCTTCCATAATATATCTTTTAATTAAAAATAGGAAAAAAGCATACTTACCCATGATTATCTATATTCTCTGACCCAAGTGGCTTGGAACCAGAAAATAGCATCACTCGACTTGAAGCCATCTTGGTGGAGTGAGTGGAGAAGAAAGTCTGGACCAGCCCATGGGTGGGCCCCACCTCGTCCTGTCAAGACCATCAAGAAAGGGCACGTGAGGAAAGCACAAAGATCCTGGAGAGACACTGGTTTCATGCAGTTTCTCAAAATTATCTTAGACACATTTCCCGAGAACCTTTCTTAATGCCTCAAAAAGCAGAGAAGAGACCGGGCATAGTGGTTCACGACTATAATCCCAGCACTTTGGGAGGCCAAGGTGGGTGGATCACAAGGTCAGGAGGTCGAGACCATCCTGGTTAACAAGGTGTAACCTCATCTCTACTAAAAATACAAAAAAATTATCCAAATGTGGTGGTGCGCGCCTGTAGTCTCAGTTACTCAGGAGGCTGAGGCAGAAGAATGGCGTGAACTCGGGAGGTGGAGCTTGCAGTGAGCAGAGATCACGCCACTGCACTCCTGCCTGGGCAACAGAGCGAGACTCCGTCTCAAAAAAAAAAAAAAAGCAGCAAAGAAAATCCTTACAACAAAGCTTGAAATGGACCCCCATCTCCATTAAACTTTTCCAAAGTTCAGGGAGTATGTAACCTGATAACCTGAACACCTAAGTAGAAAAACCTCAGTTCCAGTGCTACAACAATGCTAGTTTTTCTAACATTTTTAAATAACCCTGATTTTAACCCAATAAAATTCCACTTCAGAACAAGATATAATGTTTGAAATCCACTTTAAAATACAGAATGAGGAGACCACTGAGAATGAGAAAAAGACCACCAAGAGCTGGAAAGCACGCTGATTTTGTGGAAATGGAGATGGGCCGTGCAGGTGCCACACTGGCAGCAGGGCCCGTGCTGGGGCCACGGAACAAAGAGGCATGGAGGAGAGGACTCTTCTGCTTGGTACAATGAAAACAAGGTATTCTTTTTATTCTACATATTTACAATATGCATTTGAGCCTTTATTATAAGTACAAGAGAGAAATCTTCAATAAATAAAAGCTGCGTACATTACTATTTGTGATGAAAAAATAGATTCAGAAAGAATAATGAGAGTTCAGAGCAATGACTCCCGTCTCACTGATGCCTGAAAACCGTGGCTGCCACCAAGGTCAACATAGACAGCGTGTTTGTCATACAGCACTCGCCCAACTCCAGAAAGAGGCGCATAAACCAGCTTCTCCTTATTTAAACAGCGCTTCTTTCGTTGTTCAGGAAGAGCACAAGGTTCTGGGAGGAAACTGACGTCACTCATGGCAAAATCTCCTACCCTAGAAGACAGGACCCAAAAAGCCAGCTTCAGCTGACAAGAAGTCAGTAAGTATCTACCGTTGACTAGGGGTTAAAAACGATCCACAGTCCAAACTAGTTCAACTATTGTGGAACACAGTGTGGCGATTCCTCAAGGATCTAGAACTAGAAATACCATTTGACCCAGCCATCCCATTACTGGGTATACACCCAGAGGATTATAAATCATGCTGCTGTAAAGACACATACACACGCATGTTTATTGCAGCACTATTCACAACAGCAAAGACTTGGAACCAACCCAAATGTCCATCAGTGATAGACTGGATTAAGAAAATGTGGCACAGGCCGGGCATGATGGCTCACACCTGTAATCCCAGCACTTTGGGAGGCCAAGGCAGGTGGATCACGAGGTCAGGAGATCGAGACCATCCTGGCTAACATGGTGAAACCCCGTCTCTACTAAAAATACAAAAAAAAAAAAAAAGAATTAGCTAGGTGTGGTGGCGGGCGCCTGCAGTCCCAGCTACTCAGGAGGCTGAGGCAGGAGACTGGCGTGAATCCGGAAGGTGGAGCTTGCAGTGAGCCAAGATTGTGCCACTGCACTCCAGCCTGGGCGACAGAATGAGACTCTGTGAAGAAAAGAAAAAGAAAGGAAAGAAAGGAAAGGAAAGGAGAGGAAAGGAGAGGAGAGGAGGGGAGGGGAGGGGAGGACAGGACAGTACAGGACAGGAAAGGAAAGGAAAGGAAGAAAAGAAAGAAAAAAAGAAAAGAAAAGAAAGAAGTAAGGAAGGAATGAAGGAAGGAAGGAACGAAGGAAGGAAGGAAGGGAGGGAGGGAAGGAAGGAAAGGGAAAGAAAGGAGAGAGAGAGAGAAAGAGAGGGAGAGAAAGAGAGAGAGAAAGAGAGAAAGAAGGAAGGAAGGAAGGAAAAAGAAAGAAAGGAAAGAAAAGAAAAGAAAAAAGAAAGAAAAGAAAGAAAGAAAGAAAGAAGAAAGAAAGAAAGAAAGAAAGAAAGAAAGAAAGAAAGAAAGAAAGAAAGAAAATGTGGCACATGTACACCATGGAATACTATGCAGCCATAAAAAAGGATGAGTTCATGTCCTTTGTAGGGACATGGATGAACCTGGAAACCATCATTCTGAGCAAACTATCGCAAGGACAGAAAACCAAACACTGCATGTTCTCACTCATAGGTGGGAATTGAACAATGAGAACACTTGGACACAGGGTAGGGACCATCGCACACTGGGGCCTGTTGTGGGGTAGGGGGAGGGGAAAGGGATAGCAGCACACCAACATGGCACATGTATACATATGTAACAAACCTGCATGTTGTGCACATGTACCCTAGAACTTAAAGTATAATAATAATAATAATAATAAAAGAAACATCCAAATGCATGCTTTCTAAAGAGCATGACTGATGGGGTCAGTCACCACCACCACCAACAAAAAAAGATCAACAGTCCAAGGGCTTAAACCATGACCCTAAAGAAGGGCATCATGCCATACTGGAATAGTATCCCTCTAGCTGCAAGACAAGAGGTCAGAGAAGAGGGGATTCGGTAACACCTCTGCAGGCCTACACACAGCTGGCTTACTTTTAAAACCTCCAGCAAGGCCATCTTCCCTTGTTTGGTCATTTTTCAGTTTTCCTGAGAAATGAAGCCATCCTAAGAATCTTATGTGTAATTCTAGTATGTTCTACAACAAGAGAATAGCTGCCATGTGAATTTGGTTTTTACTTTTCAAGTGTGCTCCTCTTAAATAACCATAAAGTAACACCTGCCAGTCACATTTCATGCTTGTTCGGATATCCTCTGGGTTTGTCAAATCTTCCATCCTAGAAAACTAAACTCAATCATACAGCAGAAATGAATGGCAAAAGTTCCTCTACCTCCTTTCATGTGTCAATGACTCATCACACTCTTGTCCACTAAGCATGTTGTTTAGAAAACTAGAAAATGCAGAAATAAGGAAGCACCATTCACCATCCAACAGCGGAAAGGGGACAGGCACACAATTGCGTCTCTACGCTGAAGGTGACATTTATTCCGGAAGACACCAGACAGGGAGATGACGTCCACCTGGGGTCAGTGAAGAGTGAAGAACATATTCAGAAAATCCCTTTCTGGAAGAGGGTGAGCCTGTGCTCTGGGATTTTTACTGTGGCTTGGATTCTGGCAGGTGGAGAAAGGGTATTCCAGGCTGAGAAAACCACAGCACAAAGAAGAGCACAAAGGAAGGAAACTGAAGGCACACACGAGGACTCAAGCACCCGGGCACAAAGGCAGCATCACTGAAAACTGAGGCTGAGCATAGGATGGGGCCACATCCTGTAGGCTTAAATGTTTCCAAGTCTTCCCATTCTCCTAAACATCTCATAATTAATTTACTCCCAAAGGCACAGCATCTTTAAGCAATGATATAAGTAGACATTTTCCATCAACTACACTTCTACCCCCACTATTCAAATAGGCACAAAATAAATCCTATCACTGTTCTTTTTCTAGCCTTTTTAGCTTTGAAATATATGGCCTGGGAAGAAAAGGTTTACAATCACTTTTTACCTGTCTGCCAGGATATAAGGGTGAGAAGTTTGCCATGTGAGAGGCCTAAACTTCATAACTGTAATAAAATGGCCCAGATTGTGGATTTCTTGGTTTTGTTATTCTCCAGGCATCATTCCAGAAAGGTAGAACAGTTTGGCACCCTAAACATTAAAGGAAAATTAAAAATTAAATTTCAATTAAGTTCTTGTCAAAACTGCAACAAAATAAAAGCTCTAAACAAGAAGCAATCCTAAGAAGGGAGACTTCCAGCAAAGCCACTGTCTTGAGGCTTCCAGAGCCTTGCTGGCTTCTTTCAGGACTTATTAGAACCCCACAGAGGCAGACTGCTCTGCAGCCGAGCAGGGGCATCCATCTAAGTATGGTGAGGAGAGGGAGGTGAGGCCTCTGAGCACAGAAACGGTTCTGTGGCCGATGGACCAGAGCAGTATGGAAAGGAAGGGGCAGTGCCTGGTCCTGTAACTGGGAGAAACTTCTGATGTATTCTATTAAGTACTAACCCCAAAACAGCCAAACACTGCCTGGTGCAGCAGGTACAGGGACAAATGAGATACACCAAGAGGCCCAGAATAAGCGCTCTCCTGAGGGAAACCTTCCAGAGACTGTGAACACAAACACAATGGGGATTCAGGAGGTCAGGGACTGCGAACACATACACAATGGGAATTTAGGAGGCAAATCCTAGAGAGACATTAAGTAATGTCTCTTCAGTTTTTTGTTTGTTTCTTTGTTTTTTGAGATAGAGTCTCACTCTGTCACCCAAGCTGCAGTGCAGTGGCACAATCTCAGCTCATTGCACCCTCTGCCTCCCAGGTTCGAGTAATTCTCACATCTCAGCCTCCAGAGTAGCTGGGATTACAGGCATGCACCACCACACCTGACTAATTTTTGCATTTTTAGTAGAGACGGGGTTTGGCCATATTGCCCTGAGCTCCAAACTCCTGGCCTCAAGTGATCAGCCCGACTCTGCTTCCCAAAGTGCTGGGATTACAGGCAGGAGCCACTGTGCCTGCCTCTTCGGTCTGTCTTAAAAGGATTATACTATCAGTATCTAACAATTATTTCTCTTCCTACCGGGAAAACTTCTGTCCAGAACGTGTGTTTTAATCGCTTGTCTTCTTCAGTTGCTTATTATGCTTGAAGGAGTCGAGGTGGGTGAGAACTCCCATACTTTTAGGAAACCCATGTACTTGACAGATGTTTAGAAACTCAAAGGTTTCCATTTCAAACCCAAAGCTGGCATCTATAAGCATC